GATCCAAAAAAGCCAGTCATAACGTTAGTAACAATTGGCCAAGAACCAGAGAACAGAGAGACGTCATAAAAATCATTATTAGCAGTTATTTAGCTCCTCAGCCAATTTAAAAAACGGTACTAACCAAAATTTTGTTTTGATGGGACCTACTGGAATAAATCATGCACAGATGAAGGCCGTTTACATCTTTATATGCCAGTTGAACAACATGATCAAGCCACAAACATCAATCGAAAAAAATGGTTTACTAAGGTGGGTTTTGAAAGTGATGCATGTAACCGCAAGAAGCATATTGGAGACATGTGACCAACATCAAGGTGAAAGAGAGATGAAAACAAGAAACAAGGTTTAATAAGAAAGTTTTAAAGCAGGAGGAAACACAGGATGGGAAGAAAGTTCGATAATTAAGAAACAAACAACCATTCAAACAGACGGAATAACCTGTATCTGTTCCACCATCACAATCAAACTTTGACATTGAACAAAAAAAATACAAGTGCCATGTCTCTTATCCGTGTGCAATTTGCAGAAGGCTTCAAACCTAATTTTTCTAGGTACTTATGCTAATTCTACCAATAATGACAAAAAGATCATGGGACAAGCTTTTATCTACTCCAAGGTGAATTTGTCTATGTCAGGGAAATCCAAAGTGAGAGAATCAATTTCCTCTATGTTCTCACCAGAATAACCACATGGTTATTATTATTATATAAGATCCGCAGAAATGATAAAAACAACGAAAATTCAAGATGGCAGGATCTCTAATCCAAATGAAAAGAGGAAAAAAACCTAAAATCACGGGCGGTACAATGAAGAACAAGACTAATTTGTAAAATAACAGAAAAAGAAGAGAAACCAAATTAGGCGGACAAGGCAAAGCAAGAGCTTACGGAAAGAAGTACAACTCTTCCTAATACAGAGACATTTCGCTATCACTAAGAAGACTATCATTGTATTTCCAAGTGGGAAAAAGTTTTTGTTTACTTTGTTTAGGCAATGATCAACATATTAGTGACTATCACAAAGAAACAATACCAACTTTGATTGCCCAGATGAATGACAAAAAAAAAAGTGTGCCTTTTGTATACAGCTTTCCATCTCTAAAAGCACAAGAAGCACAAATGCACAAACTCAAGAATCGAAGCATTATTAAATACTGTCCCTCTTGAGCACATAGGTGAAGAAAAAAAACAAACTTTGAAATCCGATTTCCTGTGAAGGTTAGAGAGAAAACCCAACACGTACTCTTCGATTAAAGGAAAACAAATGGCATAACTTTCTAGCAAATGGGCAAACATGGAGTCATGGAATTGAGAGCAGTGGCAGAGGAAAATCAGCTGAATCGAGAAAAAAATGCCGAAATTGCTAAAAACAAAGGAGCAAGACCAAAGGTGCCCCGCATCCAAATCAATAAATTTTCCGCAGACAACACGTAACGTACATCCACAAGTACATACATAAATAAACCATTCCGGGAGCGTACCTGAGAAAAGAGCAGCAGCGATTCGCCGCCGGCAGAGCACTCGCCGGTGATGGGCCGCCGCAGATTCCATGTCCTGTGCGAAGGAAAGGCGGATCATCCGTCGGAGCCAACCGACCCACAAACCTTACGCGATTCCTTCGCCTGCCCTAGAAAATTTTAACTAATGGACGTCTTGTAAGGATACTGTGAAATAATGACTTTTCGGGTCCGGGCCAAGAAATCTAGAACTAAATTCCGGGACCAGATTTAAATCGAAATCTACATACAGCATTGAGCAAAGCTTTGACGATAGAAATGCCATAATGGCACACGATACAGCAGGATTTCTTGGTCACAGACTCTGTTAGAACAACAAGAAAAGATATAATACGGACACCTGATACGTAGGTTCGGGCAAGAACAACGACAAGACAGTTCCAAACTCTCTAAGTTTTCTTGGACAACACGGATGATAAAAAGAGAGAGTTGAGTAACACAAGTGCTCCATAAGTGTTGGAGATCGTCCTAGGCTGAGCCATCCTCTTTTTTCTCTTCGTCAGAGTTCAGCTTGGAAGGGGGCAGAGGGGAGGGTGAGCCATCCACTCCCATCTCGGCTTTTAGCTCGTTGATGCTCTGTTCCAGCTCGTTTACACGGTTTCCCATCTCATCAAGTGCTTCGTGGTCAAGGAGAAACATATGAGATGAAGCGGTTACGTAGGGGAAATTACGTCAATTTGAAGCTGTAGAAGAAGAATGAGGAACAAATTGTTGCATTTTCAGAAAGAGATTAATGTCTATTAGATAAACTTTGGAAGTTTTCTACCATCTAAATCCATAGTTCTGAATGCTAATCAGGGAGCACCTATACTGCCCTTCTTTCCATGAACATCGAAAACAATGGAACAAGAAAGTTTGCTATCTTAGGGAAGATGTTGTAGGTAATTTCTATCTTCAAGATCAAGCCATGCCCGAGAGTTACACCATAAGTTACTAACATTTTTCATCAAAAGCAGAAAAGGATATTCTTCGTGACGATGGTGTCGGACATCGTTTGGAACCTAGATTGCTGCAGGCCAATGTAGTTTCATCAGAAACGACAGCATAAAAATTCCTTTGAAAAGAATTCTAGGCCATTACTCACCATCTGCTGAAGAAGATTTTGCACCTGCAAAGAGGATAGAGACAGGTTATTCCTCAAGCAACAAAAGAATCAGCATAAGAAGCACATGTTCTGTACTGTCGAACCAGGCAAAAGCTATGAGCCCAGTTGAGCATACAACAGTAATAAGCTACAAACAAATATTATCTGTTCTGTGGCTTTTAAGGAGTAGATGAAGATTCTTATGCCTAACGCGAAAGTATTGTTTTTGAGATGAAAGTTGTCAGAGTCGCTTACAAAAACAGTCATGTCTGCACTACTCTGCTTCGAATCCTGTGAATCATGTCCATCCTAATAATACAGAATACAAGCAATCAAAAGGTTACGGGTAATAGGATAAGGAAAATAAGCAGATAGAATCCACACTCGAATTTATGAAACGATAAAACCCCAAGAACGCCGGAATACGCAGAACAATGGCTACAGCAAGAAGTAAACGTAGATCCGTTCCTGACCGTCCACTACACCATAAAACAACATATCCGAGCAAGAAAACAAGTACAAATTGAGAGAATTTCAAAGCTACTTCAACGAAGTTCCACGATTTCGATAATCTCTAAACCCTAACGTAAACCGAAACCTCGAAATTGTAATCCTCGTGGCCATGAAGACGATGAATGTAAGAGCCAGAATAAGATCGAAATCAATGTTGGGAAGAAAGCGACACACCATGGTTCCTCCGAAGTGGAGATCGGATTCGGCGCTTCCCGGCGTCTGCGAAGGCGAAGATCGAAAAAGATGGAGCGATTCCAAATATGCCTTGTAATTAAATTTCTCTTTGCCTCTTTCCTTTTTTTCCGGGCGGTTTCTGTTGCCTTTGCCCGCTTCATATTTTCAAATAAAATTAAATCACGCCTCTGTCTGTAAAAAAAAAAAAAATATTTACATATTGTATAGTAAGTATTTATATAACATAAAATATGTACTTCTCTCCACAATATTTCACATTATTATTTGATGAGACAAATCTAACTCGCGTCTGCGTCTGCGTCTGGGCTTCAACGTTAGCGGTACGCCGCGAAACAGGCAATTCCATCTTTCCAAACTTTTCGGATTTAAAAATTTCGTTCAGAGCCCAACCCAAATTAGTTATTGGGCTTATGAACCGATTTCTCATACTCTCTTCCTCCGATCTTGGGTTGTCTGTATTTTATAATCTTTGTTACATCTCAATCCCTGTTTGTCCGTCCATGTATTTATTTCCCATTGTGATATTGAAATGGGCCCGTAAGAAAATGTACCCATAACAAAGGACACACTGTATGGGCCTGTAATCATTCAGCCCAGATGGTCTTAAAAAATGTGGGTCATTAAAATCGAAACGGACCCACAATTGTCTCCGGAATATCGAAGCCCGTGCCAATCGAATCGCGCCCTCTCACACTCATGCCCTGTCACGTTTTCAGAAATGGCCCAATAAGAGTCGGACACCTGTCACTGTTCAAGTTTTTTTTTTTCCGTAAACAAACACTGTTCCAAGTTCAATACAAACTTTGAGTTCGTTGCGTCGCTTAGACTCTTCTCTTGCAGAAAATTTAAAAATGGCGGAACCGGTAATAGCAGAAGAACAATCTCGAACCGTAAGTCTTCTTCTTGCTCTTCCATGGTGTTTAAGTAAGAACGGATTGATTTCATCTCAGTATATGTTTCGAAGGTGGAAGATGGTGAGAGGAAGCTGAAGCGCCTGGAATTCGTGCAAGTCGCTGCCATCTATGGTGCTGTATGTTTCTCGACGCTTTACGAGTTCGCCAAGGAAAACGCAGGTCCGCTCAAACTCGGAGTAGAGAACATCGAAGCCTCTGTCCGAACCGTTCTCTCACCTGTCTGCGAGAAATTCCATGATGTCCCCTTACAGCTCCTCGAGTTCGTCGATCGCAAGGTCCGGTTTCCGTGCGTTTCCCACTTTTGATATTTAAAATCGGGAAATTTCTTAGGGTCTCACACGGCGACGTGCAGGTCGATGATTTCTTCAACGAGGCTGATCAGTATGTGCCGTCGATGGTGAAGCAAGCGTCAAGCAAGGCGATGGCAGTGGCGACAGAGGTGCAACGCATCGGCGTCGTGGATGCGGCGAGGAGCGTGTACGATAAGTTCGAGCCGGTGGTGGAGCAGTACGCGGCGGAGGCGTGGCGGGTGTTGAACAGACTGCCGGGTCAAGGAGAAACATATGAGATGAAGCGGTTACGTAGGGGAAATTACGTCAATTTGAAGCTGTAGAAGAAGAATGAGGAACAAATTGTTGCATTTTCAGAAAGAGATTAATGTCTATTAGATAAACTTTGGAAGTTTTCTACCATCTAAATCCATAGTTCTGAATGCTAATCAGGGAGCACCTATACTGCCCTTCTTTCCATGAACATCGAAAACAATGGAACAAGAAAGTTTGCTATCTTAGGGAAGATGTTGTAGGTAATTTCTATCTTCAAGATCAAGCCATGCCCGAGAGTTACACCATAAGTTACTAACATTTTTCATCAAAAGCAGAAAAGGATATTCTTCGTGACGATGGTGTCGGACATCGTTTGGAACCTAGATTGCTGCAGGCCAATGTAGTTTCATCAGAAACGACAGCATAAAAATTCCTTTGAAAAGAATTCTAGGCCATTACTCACCATCTGCTGAAGAAGATTTTGCACCTGCAAAGAGGATAGAGACAGGTTATTCCTCAAGCAACAAAAGAATCAGCATAAGAAGCACATGTTCTGTACTGTCGAACCAGGCAAAAGCTATGAGCCCAGTTGAGCATACAACAGTAATAAGCTACAAACAAATATTATCTGTTCTGTGGCTTTTTAATGAGGCACTCTGTTACGCAGGCGAGAGAGGCTGCCTTGTGGCGGAGTATCTGCCATTGATTCCGGTCCAGAAAATCGCGGAGGTCTTCGAGCCGGAATGGAGCGGCGGGGCGAGTGGTTCTACGAACGGCAAAATGGTGATGTCACGGTGAACAGAAAACGGCGTCGTCTCATTGATGTCACCGTGTCTTGTATTTTGGGAATCGGAGAATTTCGGAGGCCCTTCTTCTATTACACGCAATGCCAATTACATCTTTTTTATGATTGGGATTCTAGTTTTCAAACATTTAATAGCAAATATATTATCTCATTCATCTATTATATAAGCACCACGACCAAATTACAAGAAAATGGTAGAACTCAAGAAAAGGAAAAACAAAACATCTGAATGGGCCAAAAATAATGAGACAATAAAAGGATAGAGACATTAGTAAGGAGAGTGCCGGTTTTTCCGACGGGTTCTGGTTGACTTGACGGCCAAGGCACTTGAAGTCCAAGACCGGTTTAACTCCGTAGACTCATCAGACTTCCAGCAACACAACCGCCCGTCCTCGCCGCCGGTCCACCCAAATATCTCACCGGCACCGGTCGGCATTTGCAGAACGCTCCTCACCACATCCGAGTGACCTCCTCCCAGAATGGCTTCTGGGGACCCGATCGATCCCTGTCCCTTGTAATTTACAGGGAAATAACCTATCGTACCTGAGCAGGTTCCTCCTACCACCCATAAGTTTCCGTCTCCCGGGCAATGGCAGTCAATGAAGTAATCAACCTGCAAATGAATGGGTAAGAGAATTGTTCAACAGAAAAAGACAGGAGAATCCTAGAGCTGCTCATGAAGAAAACGTGGGAAAAGTTACATGATCTTGTGTCCAGCTATCTGATGCAAGTTGGCGAGTGTTCTCCAGATTCACTTCACAGATCCCGTCCTGCCAGTCCCAAACACTGCAAGGTAATACCGCATTAGAGAGACCCACTTCACACATGGATGCATCGTTCCATTTGTAAAGGAAGAGGAGACTACCTTAAGGTTTCTATATGTGTCAGACACCACAGTTTTTTATAGCAATCTCCTAGGAAGCCTATTTTCCCGATTGATGTCCCAACATTTATTACCTGGGAAGTTGAGGTGAATGATTTAGTATTTTCATCAATCTATTGATGTATCGGACATGTCAATAACACTAACAGATGCCAGAGACCAGAGAACCGATGAGATTTATCCCAACTTACAGATTCCAGATTATCATCGTCATTGACATCACCTTGAGTGTCAAATACACATATCAACCCATCTTCAGAGGCTGAAAGAAGCTTGTTCCGATTGTTGGGAACAAAGTGTACCTGAGTGTTACCAGTGAAAGAGAGGTCAAGAACAAAGAGGCCATTGCATGTTACAACAGAACGGATACCACAGCATAATTTGCGAATAGTTGAGAGCAGACAATCATTTCCATTCTACTTGAGCAGACACAAAACTGAAGATGTTCGTTCTCCAAAAAGTTAGCTTTTTTCTAGGCAACGAAAGTGAAACCTGAGTAACGTCGTCCATGTGGGATTCCTCCAAACAAGCAACTTGCTTTCCGTTTCTCCAATCCCATAAAAGAATCTGCACTGACAATACAGTTTCAGCAATTCAGACAATCAAAACTTAAGGGGTGCCACGAAACAACTCAGTATCAGCCGGTTCAGAAAGTGTTCCTTTTGAGCAAAAAAGATTTTACAAAATATACGAAGTCCTAATTCAGACGCTAGACCTGCTCTTTGCATCCACCGGCGAGAAGATTATCTCCAGACCCTCCAAATGAGAAGCTGAAAATCTCTTGCCCTGAGCCACCATAAATACACGAAACCTGAAAGACGGGTGACAGAAACTCGGACTGAGTCAAACCCAAACAATCCCAATACGAAACGAGCATATTATTCTGCAGAAGCGGAATCAAAACTAATAATCAGACAAAAAATCTAACCTGCTGGAAACTACGTGTGTCCCAAAATCTAATGGTACCATCAGAGGAGCAAGAATGCAGGACATGGGGCGTCGCCGACTCCGAGGAAAACGAAATTTGATTGATAGTATTCGAGTGACCCTTGCACTCACCGTAGTACTGACCGGTTACCGGCGAGTAAATCTTCACGGCGTTGGTAGACAACGAAACTGCCATGGCCGTCCAATCCATTCTGTTCCAGCAACCAGAAAACAGAGCTGGGTTTTGTCTCAATAACGCGCTTGTTTGGTTTCGAAGCTAATAACAAGAATTATCGAAAAGATCCTTACTGAGGGACGATCTGGAAGACATAGTCTTGGCCGAAGTTGGTCGGAATAGTGCTCTTGAGACCGAATTTCGCCGGATGGGTTCCGTTTCGATCCGAGGATGAATCCGAAAGTCGACAATTTTGCCCCTCCACTTCCATCCCCGAGGCGTCTTCCATGTCTTCTGTTGGGTTCAGTTCCCCGCTCGTTGTCGGAGCATAGGGTGTGAAATTAGGGGTTTTAGGGTTTTTGATTGAACGAATTAGGGATCAAAGAACCGGAGGTGATGGTTCGGCCTGACCCTGATGAGATTTATCCGACCCGGTTGTGGAAGAATCTATGGCCCATTTCACAATATACGGGTCTCTTCAGGCCCATATAGAATCATCTTGAATTTGGAACTCGAACGGTAAATCGTTAAACAGATAATAATGACAACAACCGTATGACAAAAAGAATCTTATTCAAGAAAATCGTTGTTACACATTATGTAATAATAATAAGAAGATTATCTTGTTAGTTAGACTGACAACAATGAATCAATTCAGAACTGCCCGGTCGTTCGTCAAATTTAGACATGACAAAATAGACAAAAACGGTGTAATAAATTAACTAACACAACCTCCTTTCTTCAAGTTTTTTTCCACTATAAATGCAATACGATTTGTGTTCAATTCACTTCACAAAAGAAGAGAAAAAGGTTTACGGACATCGAGAAGAGCAGATGGTGAAATCAGTCATCATCTGCGTGGCGATTCTGCTGGTGTGCGTAAGCCATCATGGGCATGCAAGAAAGTACGTCAAGTACAGAGATCCGAAGCTGCCTATCGAAGAACGGGTGGATGACTTGTTGCGAAGGATGAGACTGCCTGATAAGATCGGTCAGATGAGCCAAGTCGACAGAGCCAACTACTCGTGGGCACCTGGACCCGGCATTATCAAACAATATAGGCTTGGTAACCAATTCTTGTATACTTTTATATATATATATATATGTATGTATGGATGGATCGTGTTTAAGTTTGAGTTGATTTTACAATATGGGGCAGGAAGCATATTGAGCAATCCGTACGACACGGGAGGTGATGCGGGGGAGAGGTTGAAGGCGGCGAACGAGATGCAGAAGAGGAGTCTATCCTCAAGGCTCAAGATTCCGATTATCTACTCGGTCGATGCCATCCATGGCCACAGCACTTTCATCAACGCCACCGTTTTTCCTCACAATGTCGGCCTCGGTGTCACCCGGTATTATTATTATAAAAAAAAAACACTTGTTCATCGACCTTATGATCAAACTTTTACTGATGTGTTTATTGTACGTAATGCGTTAGGGATCCTGATCTCATAAGAAGGATTGGAGAGATCACAGCACTGGAAGCAAGGGCAACCGGTTTTGCTCTGGCGTTTGCTCCTTGTGTTGCGGTAATTAATATATATGAAATGCTTTTACCCTATCTCTTAATTACAAGACCGATGCAATATCAAAACGTGAGACGTCGACATGAGCAAGGGTCTATATATATATATATATATATAACCGGAGAGAATGGAACAACGTGCAGGTATGCCGAGATCCAAGATGGGGAAGGTGTTACGAAAGCTACAGCGAAGATCCTTCCATCGTGAATATGTTGACGTCTGAAATCATCGACGGCTTGCAAGGAAAAGTTCCTGAGAATCTTAGTGGCCATCCTTACGTAGCTTCCTCCAAGTAAATGTTTTTATGCATCCCATCTCTCTGGATTTACCCATTCTATACACACATAAATGTTTGTACATATGTGTGTGTGTAATGACGCCGCGCAGGACAAAACTAGCTGGTTGCGCCAAACATTTTGTGGGAGACGGAGGAACTGTGGATGGAATCAACGAGAGTAACATGGTGGCGGATAACCATACATTGTACGGTATTCACATGCCTCCTTTTGAGATAGCGGTCAAGAAAGGCATCTCATCCATCATGGCTTCTTACTCGAGCCTCAACGGTGTGAAGATGCATGCCAACAAAGCCATGCTCACTGATTACCTCAAGAACACTCTCAAGTTCCAGGTCAGTTGATGAAATTTTCACCAACAACCATTTTGAATGAATGAAAGAATGATGGTGATGATGTTCTTGACGACGGTATATATATATATATACAGGGTTTTGTCATCTCTGACTGGCATGGAATCGATAAGATAACCACTCCTGAGCGTGCTAATTACACGCATTCCATCGTTGCATCCATCAACGCAGGCATCGATATGGTTAGCCTTCCACTTGTTTCAATGGCTGGGAGATTCAAACAAAAACCCTAAATGGCTACCAACTGATATTCATCACGTGAAATGCATGCAGGTTATGATACCATTTCAGTTCATAGAGTTCCAAAACAGTCTGGAGAATCTAGTGAAACGCAAATTCATCCCCATGAGCCGCATTAATGACGCCGTCAGGAGGATCTTGCGCGTGAAATTCGCCATGGGACTGTTTGAGAACCCTTATGCCGACCCTAACACGGTCGTCAAGCTTGGAGCAAAGGTAATTTTTTTTTTCAGCAATGCATATGTAATTAAGAGATCAACTTCAATGAAAAAAACTCTTGTGTGTGTATATATATGCACTGCAGGAGCACCGAGAAGTGGCGAGGGAAGCAGTGAGGAAATCAATGGTGTTGCTGAAGAACGGGAAGACAAAAGACGAGAAAGTGGTGCCGCTGACCAAGAACGCGAAGAAGATTCTGGTAGTAGGCCGACATGCCAATAACTTGGGCTTTCAATGCGGAGGTTTCACCCTCACCTGGCAAGGATTCAACGGTACCAACGTCCCCTGGAACGGCTTTCGGAATCTCCCCACCGGCCATACCACCGGTAACGTTTCCACCATCCGATCGATATACATTGTCATCATATAACAATATTTCGTCTAATGGGTTCGAAATGTACACAGGAACAACTGTCTTGCAAGCCATCAAAAACACAGTTGGGAATACCTCGGAAGTTGTCCATGTAGAAGATCCGACAGCAGATACGGTCAAGCTCCACGGCGATGCCTCGTATGCGGTGGTTGTTGTCGGAGAGAATCCGTACGCCGAGACGCAGGGGGACAGCCCGACGCTAGCCATGCCTGATCCAGGCCCTGCCACTATCAAGAACGTTTGCGGTCACGGCTTGAAATGCGTTGTCGTTCTTATCACTGGACGTCCGCTCGTCATCGAGCCGTACCTCGACGTGATCGATGCCCTCGCAGTCGCGTGGCTGCCTGGAACCGAGGGCCAAGGCGTTGCGGATGTTCTCTTCGGGGACTTCCCGTTCACCGGCACATTGGCCCGTACGTGGATGAAGAATGTCGCTCAGCTTCCGATGAACGTCGGTGACAAGAATTACGACCCTCTTTTCCCCTTCGGATTCGGAATCAAGACCTGAAGACAAAGATAGCCCAGAAAAAAAAAAATTCACAGAGCTTGGCCTTTAAACTGGTTATAGGATTGGTCATTCGTTATCATCGTTGATTCATTTTTAGATTTCTTGCAAGCTGTAACAAAAAAAAAAGTTTCTTAATAAAAAAAAGATTCGTGTACTGTACGTACGTACATACTAACTTATATTACTAAATAAGAAGATTCGAAACATGACAATGCGTAATAGTTCTTCTGATGACGAGGATTACGATCGTGATCGACCTGAAGAGACATAGACCCACATCTTGTTTGCGTTTATTTAATTCAATACAACAAATTAATTCAATCGAAGGAGAAAAATTCGTCCTTGAGCGATTAAATAATCACAACTGCATGCATGTGTATGCGGACATGTGTAGTACCATCACGTCATTAATACGAGCTAGCGGTGGTAATATCTCGCCTTCTAGATGTGCGTGTCTCGACGTCATTAATGATGAATCTCGCTTCTATAATTTTCATGATGTCATCCCCGTGACTTTCCGCTCGGGTCAAAAATATCATATTATATACATATATGCTATGTTTATTTACATAGGACAGCGACGTGATTCTGACGTCATGAGGTCATGCATGACATCATTTGTTATCATTATTTTTTCGTAAACAATTATTATTATTATTATTATGCGATAATTTTAAAATTTTCAATATAAACATATCTTATTGTTTTAACAATCTCAATTTAAACTCTTTTTTTTTTTTAACTCAATGCATCGATTGTTTAACTCTCTAAATCTATTTTTGTAAATCGTATTGGCTTAACACAGTAAAGTATGTAATTGTAGTGAGATATTTATTGCGTTGTTCATATTTTTAAAATTTCGATTCGATAATTTAAATAATTCGTAGATATTCAAATTTTGAAAGGATGTTGGAAATTTCAAACATTTAAAATTTGTACCTGAAGTGAGGTAATTAATATTTTAATTGAATTCACATGAATTTGTAATATCCAAGTTTTTTCAGATCAAGAATTGACCTTAATCAAATCTATTCCATGGGCGGTTGACTTAAAGGAGTCTTCGTGTTTTCCTCGATCGTTAGTTTTAATTTCAATGTGTGTGTTTTTTTTTGGTTATATACATACACGCACATATGAGAAAATCAACAACACTACTGAATGGTTATAATTTAACAGACACGGATGAGGACGACACCTAACAAAAGCGATATATATATATATATAGTATATGAAAACTTGTATAGACGAAGAAAAATCAACAAAACTACTGAACTGTTCAAATTTAATGGAGACATCAATGAGGACACACACACACACACACATGTATATATATATTGGAAAGATATTGTAAGACATTGGATAAACAAAATAATCGAAGAAGATATGGAAGAGATACGGTGGTTAAGCAGTCGCTATGCACGTTTTCGCACGAACGAGACTTGTGGTAGCAAGCACATGAATCGAAGACACGCTTCCATTCGGGGCAGGGGATGGCTGCTGTCCGATCCAAAATAAAAGAAACGACGAAAAATGGAGGAAAAGTGGTGAATCACAACCTGACCCACACAACTACTCCTACTTATCAAACCCTGCCGAGTCCTATTTGGTCGTTCCTCGGTGGACCATGCTGCGTATTTTTTTATATATATGTTTTTGTTTGAGATTGACATTTCGATTCTTGGAATTTCAAAGATTAGTATTGATGTGTGAATATGGCGTATCCACGTGGCAGAGCTTGTATGACGATCTACTAAAATGTTTTGTATATGATATAAACATTTTTTTTCGGTCTATTATTATTTAGCCATTAAGATTAGGGTTTAGGATTGGAAGGACAATTTTTGTGACGAAACGCGGAGAGAGAGAGAGAGCCATTAAATTTTAGTTGCTCGAGAAATGGCCACGATGACCATCTATTTCCCCTTGTGTTACGACGCTTATATACGACGTGTGTCGGCATCTTCCTCTCCTTCTAATTATTATTATTATTATTATTATTATTATAGATCCTAGATCTGATTGCTCGACGTACGAAAAAGCCCAACTTTCTATCGTGGCATAGATAAATAATTATATCAAGAGATAACAAAGATTTCTGGTACGTTTGGTCGCTTTGTGGTGTTCCCCACATAGCCGTAAGATTTTACTGTCGTATATATAAATCTGTGAAAAACAATCTTATCACATAGTCTTGGATTGCAAATGTAAAATATTGTAAAATTTAATTAATTCACCGCTTTTAATTCCGCCTTGGTGGCGTGGCGCAGAGAGAGAGCTTTGTAGATGCATGTGAAGAATCGTGCGTCATTTCAGAACGTTTTTCTCGGAGAGTTTTCCGGGAAAAAATGGCTACTTTCTTCTCCTCGTCATGGGTCTCCGACCTCTCTTGTTCACCCACCGAGGTTATTGACCGGACGTCCTCTGTTCCGGTGGTCATCCAATGGCTGAGGTTCGTCTTCCTCTCTCCCTGCCCTCAGCGCTTGCTCTTCTCCGCCGTCGATCTCCTCTTCCTCCTCGTCCTCGTCGTCTTCGCTCTCCACAAGCTCCTTTCTTCTTCCCCTGCTCCAACGGAGACCAACGGAAACGCCGACATCAGCAAGCCCCTCATCGGAAGCCGCCGAAGAATCGTAACCAGAACAACCGCATGGTTCAAAACGACACTGGTCGTCACCCTTCTCCTGTCGTCTTGTTCTGTCGTGCTCTGCGTTTTGGCCTTCACCCGGACCCACTCTCCATGGAAGCTCGTCGATGCTCTGTTTTGGCTAGTCCACGCCCTCACCAACGCCGTCGTTGTGGTTTTGATCCTCCATGAGAAGAGGTTCAAAGCTTCAAATCACCCTTTGTCTCTACGAATCTATTGGGTTTCCAGTTTCATCGCCACAACCTTGTTCGCCGCCGCCGGGCTTATCCACATCTTCTCCGGCGAGACAGGCGCCGTGAATTTGGTAGCAGACGACGTGGCTTCGTTCATATCGTTCCTATTTTCGGCCTTTCTGCTTCTGGTCTCCGTCAGAGGATCCACCGGCGTGGTGACGGCGTCCGAGCCAGAGCCAGAGCCAGAGCACGACGTCGTCATGGACAAATCCGAGAACGTCTCTCTGTTCGCATCCGCTTCGGTTTTCTCCAAAACCTTCTGGTTATGGATGAACCCGCTGCTGAGCAAAGGCTACAAATCGCCGTTGAACATCGATGAGGTCCCGACACTGTCTCCAGAACACAGAGCCGAGAGACTGGCTCTGCTCTTCGAATCGAAATGGCCCAAACCACAAGAGAACTCCAAGAACCCTGTCCGGACAACTATGTTCCGGTGTTTCTGGAAGGAAGTCGCTTTCACCGCGTTCTTGGCCATTGTCCGTCTCTGCGTTATGTACGTCGGGCCAGTTCTCATTCAAAGTTTCGTGAACTTCACCTCCGGGAAGAGAAGCTCACCAATGGAGGGATACTATCTCGTTCTCATTCTCCTCGTCGCGAAATTCGTGGAAGTCTTGACGACCCATCAGTTCAATTTCCATTCCCAGAAGCTTGGAATGCTTATCCGGTCGACCCTGATTACGGCGCTGTACAAGAAAGGCCTGAAGCTTACTTGCTCTGCACGTCAGGCTCACGGCGTCGGACAGATCGTGAACTACATGGCAGTGGACGCCCAACAACTAGCCGACATGATGCTTCAGCTTCATGCAATCTGGCTGATGCCGTTGCAAGTGACAGTGGCTCTGGTCCTTCTCTACGGCAGCCTTGGCGCCTCTGTTCTTACGGCAGTGATCGGCCTCGCGGGAGTCTTCTTGTTCATCCTGCTCGGGACTAAGCAAAACAACAGATTCCAATTCAGCTTGATGCTTAACCGAGATTCTCGGATGAAGGCCACCAACGAAATGCTCAGCTACATGCGAGTGATCAAGTTCCAGGCTTGGGAGAATCATTTCAACAAGAGGATCCAGAAGTTTCGGGAGATGGAGTTCAATTGGCTCTCCAAGTTCTTCTACTCCATCTCCGGTAACATCATCGTTCTATGGAGCACGCCCGTCCTGATCTCCGCCTTCACCTTCGCCACAGCTCTCGCACTGGGAATCAAGCTCGATGCAGCCACTGTGTTCACAGCCACGTCCATATTCAAGATCCTGCAGGAGCCAATCAGGACGTTTCCGCAGTCTATGATCTCTTTGTCTCAGGCCATGATTTCTCTGGGAAGGTTAGACGGATACATGATGAGCAGAGAGCTGTCTGAAGAGGCTGTAGAGAGAGCCCATGGCTGCCAAGGCTCCACTGCCGTGGAGATCAGAGACGGAAGCTTCAGTTGGGAAGATGAAGAGGTCGAACCCGTCCTGAAAGGCATCGACTTTGAGGTTAAGAAAGGCGAGCTCACTGCCATCGTCGGGACCGTTGGATCAGGGAAATCCTCATTGTTAGCTTCAGTTCTTGGCGAAATGCATAAAATTTCTGGCAAGGTGCGAATACTGATCAAAGTTACTTACATTGCATACGAATTGTGGTTTTCTGAACGATGATTACAGGTGAGGGTCTGTGGGAGTACAGCATATGTGGCGCAGACGTCGTGGATACAGAATGGGACGGTTCAGGACAACATCTTGTTTGGTCTGCCAATGGATAGGAACAAATATGAGCAGGTTTTAAAGGTCTGTTGTTTGGACAAAGATCTGCAGATGATGGAGTTTGGGGATCAGACTGAAATCGGAGAACGGGGGATCAACCTCAGCGGAGGCCAGAAGCAGCGTATACAGCTTGCTCGTGCTGTCTATCAGGACAGCGATGTCTACTTGCTCGACGACGTTTTCAGCGCGGTGGATGCCCATACCGGTTCAGACATATTCAAGGTCATACATTTGTTAGAAATCTTTGTGGTTAATCTTAGAAATCCAACAGAAGCTGATTCTATATTCCTCGGCGTGATGTTTTATACAGAACTGCGTAAGAGGAGCTCTGAAAAGCAAGACTATATTGCTTGTTACCCATCAAGTGGACTTCTTGCACAACGCCGACTGCATACTGGTATGACCCTGAACAGAAATCAAGGCTCCAGACTGTTTTTTCTGGTTTTCTTTGCCCTGATGGAAAAAAGATTCAAACTTTCAGGTTATGAGGGACGGAATGATCGTCCAGTCAGGAAGATACGAGGAAATACTCAACTCAGGTGTGGACTTCCGTGCTCTGGTGGTGGCACATGAAACTTCGATGGAGCTAGTTGAAGCCGGAGCAAACTCTGCAACTATGGCTGCAACCTCACCAAGAACACCGATGTCACCCAGAGTGAACTCACCAAGAACTCCGAGAGATTCAATGGAGTCTCCTCGGCTAGGCGAGCTGAACGAGGAACATGTCAAGTCCTTCCTCGGCTCCAACATCCCAGAAGATGGTGCGAAGCTGATCAAAGACGAGGAGAGGGAGACCGGGCAGGTGAGCCTTCGCGTTTACAAACTGTACTGCACTGAGGCATATGGCTGGTGGGGCATAGTTCTCGTCATCCTCCTCTCCCTGGCATGGCAAGCGTCTCTTATGGCCAGCGATTACTGGCTTGCTTACGAAACCTCAGCCAAAAATGTGGCTTCGTTTAGTGCTTCCGTCTTCATACGCATCTATGTCATCATCGCTGCCGTTTCGGTGGTTCTGGTGTTCATACGATCGTTCTACGTCACGCATCTGGGGCTTAAGACGGCTCAGATCTTCTTCCAGCAGATTCTAAACAGTATCTTGCATGCTCCCATGTCGTTCTTCGATACCACGCCCTCTGGAAGAATTCTCAGTCGGGTTAGAGAGTGTTTAATCATTATACTTTTTTTCAAACTCATTCTGGAGAGATTAAAAGGTATCACCTTTTGAAATTTGTGCAGGCATCGACGGATCAAACGAATGTAGATATATTCATCCCCTTCATGATAGGACTCGTGGTTGCGATGTACACCACGCTTCTGAGCATATTTATAATAACCTGCCAATATTCTTGGCCGACCGTCTTCTTCGTGATCCCGCTCGGATGGCTCAACATCTGGTACCGGGTAAGGGTATCATCCCTTCTGATGCTGCTGGTTGTTTTTCATTTAGGTGTTCAAAAATTTTCTGGAACAATGCAGGGGTATTACCTGGCATCAGCTCGGGAACTGACCCGACTGGACTCGATCACAAAGGCACCAGTTATCCACCATTTCTCGGAGAGTATAGCCGGAGTGATGACAGTCCGTTCGTTCAGGAAAGAGGACATGTTTAGGAAGGAGAACGTGAAGCGTGTCAACGCTAATCTCAGGATGGACTTCCACAACAACGGCTCCAACGAGTGGCTTGGCTTCCGTCTCGAGTTGATCGGAAGCTGGGTTCTCTGCATCTCCGCTCTCTTCATGATCTTGTTGCCCAGCAGCATCATCAAACCCGGTATTCTTGGCTAAGATTCTTGTCTGAATTTCTTTTTTTGTTACCTTGCTATACATACTCATGGAATTGTGGTTGCAGAGAATGTGGGGTTGTCACTGTCATATGGACTGTCACTGAACTCGGTTCTGTTCTGGGCGATATACATGAGCTGCTTTGTGGAGAACAAGATGGTTTCGGTTGAGAGGATCAAACAGTTCACTGACATTCCCTCGGAATCCGCCTGGGAAAAAAAAGAAACCCTCCCTCCTCCCAACTGGCCTTTCCATGGCAACGTCCATCTCCAAGACCTCAAGGTAAGGTACAGGCCAAACACTCCGCTCGTCCTCAAGGGAATTACTCTTGACATCAACGGTGGCGAGAAGATCGGTGTGGTTGGCCGTACAGGAAGTGGGAAATCGACGCTGATCCAGGTCTTGTTCAGGCTCGTCGAGCCTTCCATGGGCAAGATTCTCATCGACGGGATCGATATCTGCACTCTTGGGCTTCATGATCTCAGGTCAAGATTAGGCATCATCCCTCAAGAACCTGTCCTGTTTGAAGGAACAGTTAGAAGCAATATCGATCCCACCCAGCAGTACTCCGACGACGAAATCTGGAAGGTAAAAAGACAACAGAAAAACTATGTGAATCGAAAACAAGATTGACTAAACAAACTGATGATCCGTTCATTTCTCCACAGAGTCTCGAACGATGCCAACTGAAGGACATCATTGCTTCCAAACCCGAGAAACTCGATTCTCTTGGTAAGTTACCACCGTATAACCAGGGCCCTTTTACGAGCATAATCTGTAAATGGACGGGCTGAATAGATTTAAGACTTTATGCAATGGCAGTGGTTGATAATGGTGAGAACTGGAGTGTGGGGCAAAGGCAGCTGCTGTGTTTGGGGAGGGTTATGCTGAAACGGAGCCGTCTCCTCTTCCTAGACGAAGCCACCGCATCAGTCGATTCACAAACCGATGCAGTGATCCAGAAAATCATCAGAGAGGACTTTGAAGCGTGCACCATCATCAGCATCGCTCACCGGATCCCCACTGTCATGGACTGTGATCGCGTCCTCGTCATTGACGCAGGTAACAGAAAACAGACATCCTGAAACAAGAATCATGAGATACAAACTGTGATGGTCCTTACGATCACGATATATGGACTAATGCCTGCGAATTACGTGACAGGGAGAGCGAAAGAGTTCGACAAACCGGCCCGTCTGCTGGAGAAGCAGTCGCTGTTTGCGGCGTTGGTGCAGGAGTACGCTCTCCGATCATCCGGACTTTGAGACTTCTTATTTAACTTCAACCCTTTTTGGAACCAACGATGTAAACAAAGTAGAGAAGCCAGATTATGTTTCAATAATCAGATGCTTTCACTCTTTGATCCCTTTCTTCTCAGGAATTATTTCTTGGTTTTCATAATTACAATCAGACAAACCATATATGTTTTTACAAAAAGTGAAATTGGAAAGAACTCAAGAAGGAACTCGTATGTTCTTTGTTTTGTTGCTTCAGACATGAGAAGGTTGACTAATGAGGGAATGAGTTCTTCAACCTAAGCTGAATGCTGACACTGGCCACGTTCCGAGCTGCTTTAAGAATCTCCTCCTCTGCTTCTTCAGCGGCTCTCATGGCTTCCCTGTATGGGGCAAAGGAAGAACAGCTCATGAGATGGCAGCAAGTGCGTACCCATCAGTGACGTCATGGAAGAGCTTTACCCTACTGTCATGTCAGGAGGCATGCCCACTTCGATCTGCAGCAAAATCTTGCCCTGCAACAAGTGCGGTGTAACTCGTTCTATCGTCATTTTCTGCATACACACGAAAATATTCCATTGTCATTCTTCAACCCCAATAGACAGAGATAAAGACTAGAAGAGGGAGTAGCACCTCAAGGAACATCGACGAGAAAATTTCTGAAACAGTGGCTTCGACACCTTTAACCTCTTTGCAGATGCTACTGTATTGATCACTTTTCCTCTCTATACTTGCGTTTTCTATCGTGCCGCCACAAGGAAACTGTAAAAAAGCTGGATCTGAAAGGAAGATGAATGGGATCCACAGGTTAGATTTGATCATTCAGATAAGTTGAGCATATACATTCTCGAGTCTGGAAAGCTTACCAATATGAATGAAAACTTCTGAAACTCCCGGGTGGTTTTTATGAATATGGTGGCGGACATTTTCTCCGATCCCATGCGCGACACTTACAGTGGAGAAGGGATCCACCTGCACGCACCAAGTAAAAACGAGTATAATCCTAGAAGTGAGTTATTTTTTTGTTTTGTTTCATAAACCCTTTTTTCTCTACTGAATACCGAGGAAGCAACACTCACCACAATGTGTACATCAAGGTACAAAAACGAACCAGCTCTTCTACCCCTCAACCGATGGCATCCCTACATTAATTATGGTAAACCATTGTAGAATGTCGCCAAAAGTCCATTATTCATCAGCCATAAAAAGAATAATAGCAGAGCTAGGCAATTTTCCATATGGCATTATGATTCTTTTACGATTTCTGATCGACCTAAATACAATCCATACCTTGACTCCTTCAACTCGTAATATGGTTTGTCTTATGGGATCTAATTGCTGGGCTGGTATAGCAGCATCGACCAGTTCCAAGACACTAAGTAAAGAGATGAATATGTTATCAGGCAATGTCGAAACAACAAGACATACATATAAAATAGCGTGGAATTACAAAAAATGAAATTTCTAGGCGAGAAAAGCTACTGAGACACAAAAGGCGTAACACTTCTACAAACTTTTGTGTAGAACAGAATGATCAAAGAAGCCGCAAATCCGCAACGCAAATTATATATACAATTAGGAAAGCATGTACCTTTGGTGTCCTGTTTCCAACCCAGCTTTGAAAACCATTCCCGAGACAACAAGACCAGCAAGAGGATCTAAAAACTTAACTCCGAGAAGAGACCCTCCTACAAAAAAGGTGATTTCCATGATGAGAAATCCATATGCATAGTCATTGATAATGACACGAATACACACAGTCGAAGATCTGGGCTTCTTTGATGTGAATTCTTACCAATCCCAATTAGGGCAACCACAGAAGAAATCGCATCTGCTCGGTGATGCCATGCATTTGCCTTCATCAATCCACTCCCTTGCCTTTCTCCTGCTCGTTTTGTTATCCAGTAAAGCCTGAGCAAGCAAAAGGTTCATACAAATGAAAAAAATAGAACAAGCAACATCCTGATCTCAATGTCTTTCCTCAAGCATGTTAGATCAAAGGGTGTCCATGAAATTACCCATAGAGCTATGAACTACCACAAACTTGTTGAATTTGAGCTCATCACACAGCATGCGTAGGAGGAATGAGCAAAAGAAACTTTAAAGTGATGATAAATGTATATCAGTACCCTTCTTTGACGGATATGGAAGCGATAGTCACGCTCAAAGCCAGAATGGGATGATCCATATCTAATCCATGGTGATGTCCACCATGACTATGGTTGCCATGAAGTTCATGCACCACCTGAGGAGCCGCTGACAGTATACCCTTCAAATCAAACAGAGAGAAACAGAAACCTCAGCTGACAGAACATAGGTAGAGTCCAAAGTTTAGTGCATAATTCCTCTTTTGTCTGTCTATTGGGTAAACAATGTGAAGAAGGATAAATCCAAGCTGTGAAGCAGATATCTTTCCTAATTATTAAATTTTAAAATACAGAAGTCTATTTAGCAAAGTCCAGTGACAGAAAATTTAAAATCTAGTTTGTAGAGAGATCAACAAAAGGAGATTTGGACATTGATAACAAGGGGGCAGCTCGGAAGCAGTCATACAAATAAAAGCTCTAAAGCATGCCATGCAATACCACAGCCAGTAGCCAAAAGCATTCCAGAAATTCCGAGGGCTCCAAGAGTTTCAAATTTACCGTGACCTGCCAAAAGGACAAACCTTTCTAAGCTGTATCTAATCCCACACAACTCTACAGGACAGGAAAACAGTAAAAGGGATAGCATGTATGCATCATTGGAGCAAAAAACGCAAGTACAGTAAGTACCATATGGGTGTTCTTTGTCCTTGGGAACATTTGCAGCTTTGAATGACAACAGAGCAACACCACTTAGAACCTGAAACGATGATAAAACAAAGGGAAGATGAAGGGGGGGAAGGGTCTACAGGTGTAAACAGAAAAATCAGGCGATCAGAAAAATTGAGAATTTAAAATTACCACATCGGAAACGGAATGAGCAGCGTCGGCGATAAGCGCGGTGCTACCAGAGAGATAGCCGGCAACGGCTTTTCCGATCGATAACCCGATATCGGCGGTGAGACCCAACCGGAAAATCTTCTCCCCTTCTTCTCCGGACATATGGCGATGCTGATGCTGGTGATCGTGGTGATGAGAGTGACCAAAATGCCACCTCCTGGGGACACAGGAACTAGGGTTCTCCAGAAGAACCGAAGACGGGTAATCATAGCTCTGCCTGATAGATGCAACTGATAATAATCGAAGATGCTGATGATGATGGTGGTGGATCGTTTCGCGGGAAGTTAGTCTCGAGAGGAATGATTTACAAACGGGATTCAGGGTTTGAAATCTGAAACCCATTTCAGAAACCCAATTACTCAGTTGAATCAACGATCGTGAAGATCATCTAGGGTTCGTGAAACAGAAATTGAAATCGATTTTTGTATCACACAGGACGGCTTCTCAATGAGCGGCAGATCACAGCCGAAACAGCAGTAAGATGTACGCGCTCGTTATTTTAACGCTAATTAATCGCTCGGCAGTAGCGTTGGAACAAAGCACGACACGTGTCGATGCGAGAACACGGATGGAAACTTCGTGTTCCGCAAGATACGGAACAGCTTGCAGAACCTTCTAATTTACAGGACAGGAAATCCACATTTCCAAGTGCATGAATATCAAGAGATTGAGTATTGGTGTTAAAAACAGCTTTGTCAGAAGGCAAACGAACAGATAGTCTTTGTTGTTCCTCTTGTTTGAAAACTTTGGTAAGGGATGGTGACGGTTCTAACATCGAAATTTGGCACCATATAAATCATTCAATGCCATCAAGAACTTCACAGCATTTCTTTTCTCATAAGTCATAACTGTATTCATTTCTCAGCTAATTATCTCTACATGCGCAAGCTCTACATCTCGGAAATGGCCCAAAATTCCTTGATTCTGTCCAAAGTAAATTCAACTATTTAGATCCATAGAACCCCAGCGCAAATTATCCAGTTCATGATGTTGTGTATTATAGAATTTGGAAACATTCTTCTACTTAAATCTGTTTTGAATATGAGACTAGTCTCATGTTCAAAATCTGTAAAATGAGTCCTTTATACACTGTCAACTGTATAATACATATATATATATATATATATATACCAAGAGGATGGAAACTTGGATAACGATGATGGCCATGCGTATATACTCATACAATGCTTTGCAAATTGCAGTAACTATAGATAGAAAACATCCATTAGAAATTAATCCAGAAGGGAAGAAGAACAACTAGCTAGAGCTGTCTACCGGCGGCGTCGGCAACTAAGGGCAAATACGGAGTCTTTCCGACGATACAGCTCAATACCCCGTACACAAAACACAGACAACTAAACACAAACACCGCATTGTGGCCCCATATCACGGCCCGGACCCCAAACCCGCCCCGACCCAGATCCAGAATCCGGGTCAAGAGCACCGGAACAGCCAGTAACACGTCCAAGGTCACCGCCTGCATCGCGTTGAACCTCACGTACCTGCTGAAGCGCGTGTTCCTCACCACCCCGAGGTACAGCCCGAAGAACGCCACGAAGCTCGCGTACGGCACCGATCTGTAGAGGTTGAGGATCGGGACGAGAGGGTCGAAGAGGAGACCCAATCGAGGGTACTGCACAAAGAGGAACCGCCCGTACTGGAGGGAGTTGAAGAAGGGAAGCGCGTACGAAGCGATTGAGATCACGCGCTCCGTCGCCGGCGTCGGATTGTAGGAGGCGCGTGGTGGTGCCGCTGCGGTGGCCCGTCGGGTCGAGGGGCGGATGAATGCGACATTCGATCTGGGAAAGGAGAGGGTTGGGTTGGCGATGGGTATTGCTCTAATGGGACTTAGGGTTTGGTGAAGTGAGAGGCAGAGAGACGCCATTTTCGGGCTCTAATTTGTTTTTTGGGAGTATCCCCAGTTAGGGATGAGGAAAAAGGATTTGATTCCGACAAAGCGCACCGTTCCGTAGAATGCAAAGCAAATACTGTCTTGGGACCAATTTGATCCTTTTTGAAAGTAAATGACTTGACTGGTTCAATTTGTAAAAATCAGGGTCAAGCGTATATATTTAATGAAACGGCCGCGTTTCGATCTGCAGCTTTCTCTCCGGCTTTGCGTCATCGTCCATTCTCTCTCTCCTTTCTGCAAGTAAAAGTTTTGTGAGATTTCGTGGGTCGGTTGTCTGTCGACATCGACAAGCCATGGATCGACGACATGCTTACACTATCCAATATCGAGCCGAGTCAATTTTCAACAAATTTCGGAACTTTACTATGTAATTGAAAAAATATCCAATCTCTGCAAAAGATTATGCCATGGCTACAAGCTTCAATCCAGGATCAATTCGGAGACTGAACTTGTAGAGAAAAAAATGGAGACTCAATCAAGAACTGAAACAAGGTCATAACGGTTGAGTCCGATGGATCTTTCCTCGATAGACGAGCATCAACTCAGGTACTTGCTCGGCATACTTCGTCACGAACTTGTCCAGAAACACGTCCTCCACGGGAGCCAGCACAGAAGCAAGGCTCCAATCTTCATTCACCAGCCCCTTGGAAACAAGAACCCTAATCACGGAACACCTGGGAATGATCCTCTTCTCCAGGCTGAAGAACAGCACCAACGGACACTGCACGATCCTCCTCGGCTCCCATCCCATCTCCTTCACCAGATACTCCATGCTCCTGTTGATCTTCCTCTCCGACAGCATCATACAATGCGGGTGCTTCTTGAACGCCCTCATGATGTCGTCTTCCGACCACCCCCATCTCTTGTACACCTCGAAACACTTCTCCCATGTCGACTGATTGGCTTTCCCCGAAAGGGTATGAATCGCTAGCACAAAGGTCGATTTTTTCGGATCGAATCCCATTTCCTTCGCTTGTTCCGCGATTCTCCGGAAGTATTCGTTCCTCTGCATCACCGCTTCCGGGAAATGCGTGACGAGCAGCTTTACGCATTTCTCCGGCACACCCATCTCCGACAAGAAGTCTATGTTGGGGACGAGGCTCTTATTGTGATCCGCGAGGAAAATCCACGTCGTCCGCCGGAGCGCGGCGACGATTTTCTCGTCGGAGAGGAGAACGCTCTTGAGGAAGTTATAGGAAGGGATTATCTGATTGGTGAGGCTTCTGGTCAAAATGGTGGGATTAGAGCATAGAGCTCGCGCGAGAGCTGGTTCCGAGATACCGATAGACAAGAGGAAACGAATCTTCGGCAAGAGCACGGATTCGACGCTCGCCAACAGCAAAAGTGGGCGCTTCTTCACGAGGCTGGAGATCTGTGCACGGGAAAATCCATGATCGCGGAGGAGGGCGAGAACAGCGTCGGGCCGGTCGGGGGAATCGAGGTGGAGCTTCTGAGCGGCGACGGTGGCGTGCTCCGGAGACAAGCCGCAAGAGTCTACGAGGTAAGAGATGGTGAAGGAATGACTGTGCCTGTGGCCTCTAGGGTTTCGGGAGATGACGGCGGGGGGAGAAGATTGGGATTGGAGAGAGAAGAAGAGGGGTTTGGGAATCGTACGGCCTCCGGTTGAAGATGGAGTTTTCCAGGAGGAGGGCGTGGAGTACAAGAGCCTGAGAGCGGAAGCGTATTGGGGCACTGTCACAGCCATCTGTGCTACTGTCCGAAGACGATGGAGAAGGAGAGGAAGTGCACCATCGCCTTCGCATCCAAGCTTTTCGCCGATGGCTAACCGCTTCACTTTTATTGGGTGGGTTCGTGGGCCGGAAATTTGGGCCATGAGTTGGCCCAAACATGGTTTCCGTAAGGCCCATTATTTACTCTGAAAACATGGAATTTGTAGAGAGAGAAAAAGACCATGAAGATCATTACATGCAGTGAGGACATCAATTTATTCACAGAATAAGAATCTTAATAAACCAATTCAACGGCAAGGGATTAAGTTCTTGATTTAACAAAAAATGATTTGAAGTAAAAGGGATATTAGGCAACGGACTGAGCGAGTTCTTCCATGAGTTCTTGTTGTTCCATAGAAGAGCAAGCCTGCATGAAACGAGCCGTGCGTTTACAATTCAATGAAATAGTAACAAGCAATGTCGGATTCATGTCTGAACAAGAAGTGGAGAAAAGACCATAACACAAGAAACACGCAGAAATCAAGAGAGAAAGTACCTGAACAGCATTGTCTATGTCACCTTCAAGAAATGATGTGAGCTCGAAATTCATCTTTAGCCTGTGGTCAGTCACCCTGTTGTCCTGCATCCACCGCAATGTAATAATAATACCCCATTCAAGTTAAAAGCTTCTAAAGGAACTGAACCGTTGTTATAACTAGTACACAACTAGAGAAACTGCCTAGCCATCCTTCCTTACAATCTCCCAACATCGCAATATATACGCATTCCGATATACAGCTTATATCGTGGTATAGTTTTGGAGGCATACCTTGTAATTGTACGTTCTTATCTTTTCTGAACGAGCGCCAGTCCCGACCTGTGTTTGAGAACAGAGGGCAGGATGATCCTCTACAGCACGAATGAAGGACGCTTTCTTGGAAAGTAAAACGGACCCGAGAGTACCTGTAATTTTCTCTGACTCCTTATCTGCTCCTGTTGTTCCCGTACTTTCATTTCATACCTGTGGAAAAGTCAATCGATCATTAAGACTGGAACTAAGAGGACGTACAGAAGTATAGAGTATCCACGGATGTGGCAGGGGATGCTAACAGTTTTGCTCTCAATAGCTGGAAAGCACGGGCTTTGTTTCGAAGTTGGGTCCTTTCTTCTGTACAGAAAATGCGAATTCCTGATGGCTTGTGGAAAAGATCAACTGCTGTCTCGACCTTGTTGACGTTTTGCCCTGTTCAACATTTTTTGACACAATTATAAGTTCCAATTCGTTGTCTCAAAAATTATGACATCGATATTCGGACATCTAACCTCCAGCACCACCAGACCTTGCCGTTGTAAGTTCAATGTCCTTTGGATCAATCTCCACCTCGACTTCATCAGCCTATGACAATAGACAGCACAGAAGAGATAACTTCGATGATACTAATATCATTCAGAATATTAAATTCTCCTCATTGGCACAAGAAATGTCTTGCATGGACTCTTTGCATAGGGAGCTCACCTCGGGCATGATGGCTACAGTTGCGGTTGAGGTGTGTACACGTCCCTGTGTTTCTGTCTGCGGAACACGCTGGACACGATGAACACCAGATTCATATTTTAACTTGCTGTAAACACGGGTTCCTTTGATCTCCATCACATAGGTCTTGTAACCCCCTCTTTCAGCCTTCAACATAGAAACCAAACACATTAGTGAGATCATCGAAGTAGCAGAAAGAAACGCCAAAACGAAATAGTTTTTGCCAAACCATTAAAACGGGTAAGATTTAATCTGGTATCTTCAATTAAAAAGAATAGTAACTTAATGCAGTTCCAAATTCTCCCACAAGATTTAGCTACATGAATGTACCCTTCTAGTTGCTATGCTGTATAATGGCACTATCGTTGCTGATCAACAATATGCGAGTTTAATGGAAATTACAGCATCCTACCTCTGAGCATGAAACTAGAGAAAACGCCCAAGAGTTGCGCTCACTGTACTTCTGATACATCCGCACCTATAAATAGAATTCCAAGCAACGCTTAGAAGAGTGTCACTTTGAGAATTAAGTTATGAAACTTGCAGTTTAATTTGATACATATGCAGACATAAGAGAATAACAACATTTTGTAAGAATTAAGTACAAAATGTAAGACTGAATTGAATCCAACTAACTCAAATATGGTTGAGATATTATATTCATCTTCTGCTATAAAATATCAAAATTAAAAAAAATGGACCGAAACTATCTTAGCTTATCTTTCTCGCATCAATAATACATTTAATTTTAGGATATCTCAAGTAATCCAGATGAGAAGACAGCAGTATTAGATACCACAGGAGCAGATGAACTAAAAGAATGCATATACCTACAAGATCACCAGTCCAAATTCCAGCTTCATCACCCCCAGTTCCTGCCCTCACTGTAAAAAGGAACTCAAAATTTGTATACGCTCAAAAGCAGATAAAGATATCAATCAATGGAGGAAAGTCCATGGTAAAGAGGCAGAGACAGAATAGGTAAAGGAACAGATCCACAGAACTGACTGGGTCGAGAAATTTTATTTTATGCAATGTTAATGACTGAGCAGAGAACTTATAACTGGTTTTAATAAAGACTGGCTTGTCAAGCTCAAAGTAAAAATACGTTAACAATGGTGGTAGCAAACATCCAATTACCTTCAAGTAAAATGTTTCTGGCGTCTAGAGGATTGCTAGGAAGTAGCATCAACTGACAAAAGAGGACAAGATATTACAACATGTGGATCCAAATCACAAGTAAATGAGCAACTTGAGGATTGAAATCAGCAAAGTTCAACCCTCAACAAGATTAGAATGTGAATAACATTTCATGGGTCTCAACAGTGGGAACACAACCAAGGACATGCTTAAACATGCAGCCAAACCTTAAGTTTCTTTTCGAGCCCCTGAATTTCTGCCGATAACGAATTAATTTCATTTGCTATCATTTCAGCCATGTCTTGGTCATCTCCATCTTCGCTCGCCAAAGCTGTAGAAAAGACCAACAAGAACCAAACTGTGATCTCCTGACAAACTAGCAGAAGCGAAAGGAAGATACACGGGGTTGAAGGGACCTTTAGTTTCTTCTAATTGTTTCTCGCAATCCTTGAATCTTCTGAAGGTTGTCACAACCTAGAATAGTTACAATAAAATAATTCCAGTTTCAAGATTCCTCTGAAACATCAAAGTTTTCACACACATGAAAATGAACATGAACAAACAGCAACACCTCGTCAAGCTCGGCCATGGACTGTGCCAGCCTTTGGTATTCAGTCGGATTGGAAACCACGTCCGGGTCAGCTAGTTTCACCTACAAATAGTTTGTATTTCAGAAGCTTCCAACATCGATTCGAAAATACGAGAAATACACTCCATTTCCCATGATTTCCCTCGTGAAACAATCCAAAGGTCATTTCTTGGTTTCACAACTGAGTTCGAGACATGAGGACTGTCCTGAAAAGAGACAATTTATGCTAAAACTTTCCTATTAACATCATGGACATACCGATAACTCTTTCCATGTCTTCTCAGCAGACTCCAGCTTCGTGATGAGGTAAGGCTCCTACATTCACCACCAAAAAAAAAAAAAAGATTAGAGAACAAATTTCTGCAACAACAGTATAATCGGTCACATGGATAAATAAAAGGAAATTAGCTAAAAAATCCCCATTCTATTCCGCGCAATTTTATTCTCCGAGCACACACCGCCATGCAGACGAGTCGCCGAGCCCGGCGACCCGGAGACAGCGGTCTCAACACTACACATCCTTCGTTCGGGGGTTGTCTCCACCGGAAATTTAACGGAAGACAGTGAAGATTCAGGAAGGCTCGAGCCATTGGACTTGTTGTCGTCGACCAGTTCATCGTTTGTGCAGCACCAGTGAATGCCGGAAGTGAACAGGCGCGAGTTGCCGGATAAGAAAGCATTTGATGATGAGGCGTGTTTGGCTGAGAGGACAAGATTATCCCCGGAGTTATGTTTCCCGGGTACACACGCGTCTGCAGAAACGGCACGCAGTTGATTATGAATTTACTGTGACACTATACAATGTATGTCGTTTATCTGTAAACCTATGCGACGTCGTCCTGTCTTCTGGTGCTCTTTATTTTTTTTTCCTTAATAGCAAGCAATCACAATTATCTTCTTCGCTCACTCATTCGGCATTTTCATTCCCTTTTCAAAATATCTGCCTCTCACTGGCAAAGCTGGAAACCGGCTGACGAAACGGCGGAGACACGACGGAGCACGGCGACGGCGGTGATTTATTAACGGGCGTGGAATTGTTTCCTTCCTCAGTAAAGACTAAGTCTTTGTTCGTTGGTTGTTGTTGCTCGGAGGTGCTTCTCCAATGGAAGCTACGCTTCTCCGTTATCCTCAGTTCTTCAAGGCAAAGCCTTACCAGATAGTGGGTCTGTCCTCTACTCTGTCTGTTTATTGGGAAAATTCCGTCGGAAATTTGGAAAGCGAATGAAACTCGTCGAAGCGAGACATTTATTCGATTTTTGCCTCAAAAAGCTTGAATATCGCTTTACCAATTACTTCGTTATGTTCAAGGCTTTTAATGCGCATGGAGGTATCAAGATTAGATCTTAGCATTTAATTACTGCTAATCCTTTGGGAGTTCCCGCTGTGGAGCATATCTGAGTTTGTAACTTGAGCAGCTTTATACAAGTTCTTGTTTTGTTCTTTGCTTTGCCCACTCGTAAGTAAATTACTTTAACTTTCCGAGCATAAGCTTACCTTTATAATTTCCAGGTGGTTCTGCAGTTGATCGTGTTCCTGGTCACCACCTTCCTCGTCCCAGAAACTGTCGTGCCAATATGAATTTGTCAAAGTCTAGAGAAACCCAATTTATACAGATGAGCAGTCATTTCTTACGCAAAGAAAGGAAGAATTTTTCGGCACATTATTCCAATCAGCTGCGAAGTGACTCTATGAACAGCGGAGAAACACATTCGGATTCTCAGAATTTAGAGGTTTTTCCTCCAGAAGCTGCTGGTGCTCAGGACATTCATCTATCGCAGAATGTTGCTAGCGCTATAACTCTGCAGGAAAGGCCAAAAACTTTCAGAAATAGGTTTCTTGATTTTGTTCGCCTAAGCTCAGTCCTGAACAATGCGGCAGAAGCATTCTTTAAGAGCGAGATAAGGAGGAGGTTATTCATAACAGCTGTGCTACTTGTAGTCAGCCGTGTTGGATATTTTATTCCTCTGCCTGGGTTTGACAGAAGACTGATACCCCAAGATTACCTCAGCTTTGTCTCAGGATCTGTCGGTGAGTTCCCATTATGTTTTGTCTCAAAGACTGCAATCCTTTCTCATGCCACTGTGTTCAATAGTACCAGCTGTTCTGTATATTTAAGCCTAGTATTGAACATTCTTGTTTCATATTCTTTTTGGTAGAGGAGTTGGGTGATTTTGGAGGGGAGGTCAAGCTTTCGCTTTTCCAGCTTGGACTCAGCCCACAAATCATAGCATCAATAATTATGCAGGTTAAGATCTCGTACTTATTCATCCAATCCAAGTTGAAGAGGCACTGGAGATGCCACTTGATGTGTTGTTTGCATGAAACCATTTGTTATTTTTATATTACAATTATGAATGATGAAGTTATTATCACGAATGTCCTTGCAGGTGCTTTGCCATGTTGTTCCATCCTTAGTAAAGTTGCGAAAGGAAGGCTTGGATGGCCATGAGAAGATTAAGAGTTATATGTGTGTTTAGTTTTTCATCTCAAGCCGTGAGACGAGTTCTTTCCATGCAAATTCATCTGTTGTAGCTTACGGTTTCATGTCTTATAATAATAAATTTAAGGTCTTTCTTTTGCTTTTAGATGGTGGCTGTCATTTTTCTTTGCAATATTGGAAGCTGTAGTGGTGGCTTGCACTTCTCTGCAGTACTCGGTTTATGCAGCCACTGCCCGGTAATTTAGCTAGGATGATTCAAGTTGAAAATGTTCAATTATATGTAAAATGAAACTTTAGCTTCTTCAGTCTAAGAAGCATTGAATACCTGCTTATAACATGATTATGTTACTGTTAATGTTATGAAATGTGTACTGTAAGATTTTGTTTATATATTGTTCATAACCTATATCCATGACCTGTTGAAAGATATTTCCTAAAGGTTTACCAGCCATATGCATTTCCAAAACAATTTTGCCTCCCAGCCAATTCTTAGCTGAGAAATGTCATTTGTTCAGGGTGAAGCATGTGATGGTTACAGCAGCACTGATGGTCTGCGGTGCAATGACAATGACATGGATATGTGACACAATATCAGAATCTGGATTTGGTATTTTTCACTTTCTCTATACAATTGTCTAGTATTGAATTAGTTCTCATGGTGGTGCTGAGGCTATAATAACAGGGAATTACTTTTAATCGGTTTATGTGAACTTCAGGTCATGGATCATCTCTGATAATTTGTGTGGGAATATTGACGGGCTACACAGAAACCTTACACAAGATGCTGACTCAAATCTCTGGTACATTTTCCAGTTACTGTATATTGCTTTCGAAAACTTTTGAGAATACCCCCCTAGACATGCATTAGCATATTATAGCTTTCTTAGAGTCTACTTGGAGATGGTGGAGTAGCATCCAGTTTTTTCAGGCAACATTCAACACATAAATAATAATTTTGTAAATGGCTATCGCCGATGGCCTTTTCGCAGGACGTGCTGCGCATTGGTGGCCTTACCTGCTAGGTTTATTGGGTATTTTCACTATTGTCACCATGTGGGCTGTTGTTGTTACTGAGGGCTGCAGGAAGATAAAATTGCAGTATTATGGTTTTAAACTTGCTTCTGCTTCAAGGTAAAATAGGCATTCTTTTCTATATGTTGAGGGCATTTCAATCTTGATTGATATGATTAGAATTCTATCCATTCTGGTGCTAGATGTGATTACTCATATCTGTTTTATGCCATATTTTGTTGGACAGAGAAGGTTCTCCAATGACTGAGGTGGAACCGTACATACCTTTTAATATTAACCCATCAGGAATGCAGCCTGTTCTCACCACCACGTATCTCTTGGCGTTTCCCAGTATTCTTGCGAGGTAATAATCCCAGCAGGGCAGACCAATTTAGCCTTTTCCCTGTGCTGCCAAAATGTATTGCAGGTTTTGATGGCAATGGAATTTAGCCTCAAGCCATCTTTTTTCTTGTTTTCTGTATTGAGTAAATAAATCTTTATATCTATGCTTGTCTAATAAAAAGCTTTTCTTTTTAGTGTTCTTGGCTCACGATTCTGGGAGCATGTGAAAGAGATACTGAACCCTGAAACTACAGTCGGTGCGCCACCGTGGGTTTACTATTCAATCTATGCGTTTTTCGTCTTTCTTTTCAACATATTTGACATTGTGAGTATGCTCTTGTCTTCTTCTTCCCTTATTTTTCCATATATATGTTCTCACGATTATTCAAGCAGGAGGATGCAATATGAATTTCAATCTTCCAAGAACATTAAGCATTTCAGTTTTTTAAGTTTCACCTCCTACGATCTTGTATTAATATCATGGATAACCAAAAACACTGATGGCATGTCACTGGAAATGATGGTTGAGTAGGCCAATTTGCCAAAGGAAATAGCTGATTATTTGAACAAGATGGGGGCCAGAATACCAAACATAAAGCCTGGAAAGGCCACAATTGAGTACCTAACCAAGATACAGGCTTCAACCAGGTTTTGGGGTATGTTCTCTGTTTCTCCTCAGTGTTTATTTATGCTTCTACGCATAGACATCAGCAATCCGAGCCTCTCTGCTTCATCAATTTGTTTCAGGGGGTTTACTGTTGAGTTTTTTGGCGACATCGTCTACTATACTTGACCACTATCTACGCAGCATCAACGAGGGCTTTGCCATCGGCTTTATGTCAGTCCTGATCATCGTAAGTCCTTCCGTGCTGTTCATGTCGAAATCCTGTAAAATTGACAAAAGTAGAGCTTTTTCTTCTTTTTTTTGGGTAGAATTTTTGTTGAGTGAGGCGTGGGTGCAGGTGGGTTCGATAATTGAGCTAAGAAGATCGTACCATGCCTACAATGTCATGCCGAGTTTAAGCAAAGCGTTGAGAAGATACGGTGTATGACTGACTTCACCGTCGTCAAGCTAAGGACACTCTGCTTTTTGGATACTACGCCGTTCCATGTCGCAAATGTTTCGAAATCTCTCTTAGATTAGGCATTGAAGGTTTTATAGTAAAACAAGACACGAGGAAACATGGCATTACAAAGGATGCTCTGTTATGTCCGAGTGAAGAATGTGGATAAACAGCCTTTTTCGCTTTTGAGTTTCTTATTCTGTGGCTCTCAGTTCATGTGGCCATTGTAGGACATCGGAAAAGAAAAAGCTTCCCACTTTTTTTTTTCCCGACAGGATATTTTTGTTCAAAGCCGCCATAGAAACGATCCTTCTTGGCATTTTGAAACTGATTCGAGCTGCATTCAAAGTATAGGTTTCACCAGAGACGATGACCATTTTCTTCTGGACGTTGTGATAACACCCATGAAGAAGCTGATAACCAAGCCCGAGAAGCACCCAACATAAGCCCAATGTTAGAGAATGAAGTCCAACACAAAAGTCCAGCAGATCAGACGCATGACTGTGATGACGAAACTGGAAAGGATCTCAACAAAGAAGGAAATAATCAACTATAGCACAATTTGCCTTGATCACTAGCCGTTAGTATCTTGTAAATTTTCCTTTTACTTATATCTTTCCTTTTCTCAGCCTCTATAGTTTATGTGTATATATTTGCTGCAATATACTCTGTACAGAAGAAGAAGAAAAATAAGAACTCTGTTGTTCTCGTTTTCATCAGATTTGAACTTAGTGTTTCTGGGTCTTTTCATTCCATCACTAGAAAAACTTTCATGGTATCAGAGCCTGGTTTTGGAATCTGCATTCACTTCTTCCGTTTGGCATGCACGTCTTGGTCATTGTCATCCCAAAGTTTTAAAGTTACTTGTTCCGAAAACTAGTTTTGATCATAAGTCATGTGAAGCATGTATTCTTGGAAAACATTGTCATAGTGTATTCCATGACTCTACTACTTTATATGAAAATTGCTTTGATCTTATTCATTCCGATGTTTGGACATCTCCTTGTCATTCTAGAGAAAATCATAAATATTTTGTTACGTTCATCGATGAAAAATCGAAATTTACATGGCTTTATTTTTTGCCTTCGAAATCTCATGTGTATAATGTTTTCAAGCAATTTTATATATACGTTACTAACCAATTTGGTGCTAAGATTAAAATTTTGAGAACAGATAATGGAGGCGAATATATGAGCAACCAATTCAAGGAATTCATCACGTCGAATGGAATAATCCATCAATCCACATGTCCTCACACACCTCAACAAAACGGTGTCGCAGAACGCAAAAACCGTCATCTTCTTGAAGTAGCTAGAACCCTCATGTTCCATATGAATGTCCCAAAAACATATTGGCATGATGCTGTAGCCGCGGCTTGTTATACAATCAATCGGCTTCCTACACGGGTCTTACAAGACAAATCACCATATGAGGTACTTTTCTCTCATAAAGATAACATTGACCACTTGCGTGTGTTTGGTTGCGTTTGTTTTCCTCTCATTCCAGATGAGCAGCGGACGAAGCTCGATCCTAAGGGACTCCGATGCATCTTTATCGGTTATTCCACGACACAAAAAAGCTACAAATGTTATCACCCACCGACGCGCCGGATACATACGTCTAGAGATGTGAGATTTCTTGAACAAGAAACATACTTCTCAACCAAAGATTGGTCTGCCTTGGAGCCGGTTTTCCTCTCATTCCAGATGAGCAGCGGACGAAGCTCGATCCTAAGGGACTCCGATGCATCTTTATCGGTTATTCCACGACACAAAAAAGCTACAAATGTTATCACCCACCGACGCGCCGGATACATACGTCTAGAGATGTGAGATTTCTTGAACAAGAAACATACTTCTCAACCAAAGATTGGTCTGCCTTGGAGCCGTCGGTACCTCATACTCCGAATTATAACGCAACCGTGTTTCATCTGCTTCAAGAAGCCCAACGTTCCAACGAACACATACATGATCGTGTCTCTCCGAATCTGAGCACATCAGCACCGTCATCTCAAGGTGAGTTCTCGGACACTTATGTCTCTCATGCAGGAGACACATGTGAGGCCGAGAATCATGAACCATCAGGTCAGGGGGACCAAAATCTTCCAGCTCATGCGGTTGACGATTCTGCCCAAGAAGCAGCCCCTCTCATTCCAGATTCTATTATTTCTGCAAATCCAGTGCAGTCCCTAGGACCCGGAGATGCAGCGGCTCTTGTCCCCTCCAACACTGCATCAACCCCTATTTCTTCTATTAGTCCGACAACAATTGCTGAAAAAGTTGCAGATCCTGTTCCTTTGCTCCGTCGAAGTTCGCGGCCACGTCAACCTACATGGAAAATTAAAGATTCCTCCACTCAGAATAACACCAAGGCACTTGTCACTTCAAATGTGGTAACATATCCAATTGAAACGTGTTATTCTATTAATTCTTTACCTGCTAATGCCCAATCTTTTTTGAGAAAAATAGATGAGGATGTCGAACCTACATGCTATAGCAAAGCCAAAGATCATCAGGTGTGGAGAGATGCGATGGAAGAAGAAATTCAAGCTTTGCAGAAAAATGGTACTTGGGAAATCACTGATCTTCCCCGAGACAAACAACCAGTCCGAAGCAAATGGGTCTACAAAATTAAACGTCGCAGTGATGGTCAAATTGAACGCTACAAAGCCCGCCTTGTCGCTAAAGGATATACTCAAACCTACGGAGAAGACTACACCGATACCTTTGCTCCGGTGGCAAATCTCAAATCGGTTAGAGTTATTCTTTCTTTAGCTGTTAACTTGAATTGGGAATTATGGCAGATGGACGTTAAAAATGCGTTTCTTCAAGGCGATCTTGAGGAGGAAATATACATGTTACCGCCCCCCGGTCTACGTGATCGACTCGGTAAAGATAAAGTTTATCGATTGCATAAGGCGCTTTACGGTCTCAAACAGTCCCCTCGCGCTTGGTATCAAAAGCTCCATCGCGCCATTACCACCTTTGGCTTTGTACGAAGCGAGGCCGATCATTCCTTATTCGTTCGTCAAACTCCTCACGGTAACATCGTTCTTGTTGTCTATGTTGATGATATTATCTTGACGGGTAGTGATTCTCATGGAATACAAGCAACTAAATCTTTTCTCCACAACACATTTGATATAAAAGACCTTGGCCACTTACAATATTTTCTTGGTGTTGAGATATTACGTTCTACTAACGGCTTGTTTATGACGCAGCGAAAATACACTCTTGAGCTTTTACGTGAAACAGGAAAGTTGGGAGCCAAACCAGCAAAAACGCCTTTGGAAACGTCATACAAAGATCACGATGAGGGGGAACAATTTTCGGACATCGAACAATATCGGCGTGCCGTCGGTAAGTTAATCTATCTTACTCTCACACGTCCTGACATTTGTTACGCTGTGAACCAGGTAAGTCAATGGATGCATTCTCCCACGACTTGGCATTGGCGTATGGTGGAACGAATATTGAAATACCTAAAGGGCACACCGGCGCATGGACTTTGGATGCAACGGAACAACAATACTAGCATCTCGGCATATTGCGATGCCGATTGGGCCGGTGATCGGCATGATCGCAAATCCACAACGGGCTATTGCACATTTGTCGGTGGTAATATCGTCACATGGAAGAGTAAGAAGCAGCCCGTTGTCTCCCGCTCTAGCGCAGAAGCAGAATACCGCGCCATGGCGAATACCGCTTGTGAACTACTTTGGTTGAAAGGTCTTCTCCACGACATTGGCATTCAATCTTCGATTGCCATGCCTCTTCATTGCGATAATCAAGCCGCAATTCATATCTCTGCCAACTCCGTTTTTCACGAACGGACGAAGCATATTGAGGTTGATTGCCACTTCATTCGTGAAAAAATCGCTGCGGGTCTCATTCAGACAATTTTCACACCTAGCTCGGACCAACTCGCGGACATGTTCACCAAAGCACCTAGCTCTTGGAACCTGCAGCAGAGTCTCGGCAAGATCGGACTTGTTGGACTCCAACGTACGATCTTGAGGGGGAATGATAACACCCATGAAGAAGCTGATAACCAAGCCCGAGAAGCACCCAACATAAGCCCAATGTTAGAGAATGAAGTCCAACACAAAAGTCCAGCAGATCAGACGCATGACTGTGATGACGAAACTGGAAAGGATCTCAACAAAGAAGGAAATAATCAACTATAGCACAATTTGCCTTGATCACTAGCCGTTAGTATCTTGTAAATTTTCCTTTTACTTATATCTTTCCTTTTCTCAGCCTCTATAGTTTATGTGTATATATTTGCTGCAATATACTCTGTACAGAAGAAGAAGAAAAATAAGAACTCTGTTGTTCTCGTTTTCATCAGATTTGAACTTAGTGTTTCTGGGTCTTTTCATTCCATCACTAGAAAAACTTTCACGTTGAGTATTTAGATTCAAGAGTGACGAAAGGTGTCACTTCAACGCCGACAGTGGAGCCGTAGAAGATCTTTTTTCTGGTCATGTAATATTGGGAAAAAGCGTCGGGCTCCGGGACTTGGATTTTGTAGCGTAGAGAGAGAATTGACGGATTTGACCCCGTTCTCCGACCAGAACCGAATGAAGGTGCGAAGTGCGCGCGCTTTCTCCGTTCAAGGGCTTTTCGGTAATTTTGGGTATGCGATTTTCAAATAATTCCTGGGAAATTTAATTTTAATTCCCCTTTTGTAGGTGCTTTTATTTGGCGGGTACCTAGAGGCTAGAGACAAAAACAAAAAGATACAAACACCGTGAATAATTTAAAAAATTTTAATTCACTAAAAAAACAAAATGAAAACTAAAGAAGGGAAAAAGATAAAAGCTAAAAAGAGAAGCTTGAAAACCAGACTGTCCGGAATCTCAAGGGCGAGACGAGAGAGAGAGAGAGCGCGCTCTCGATCACTGTCGAAATACCTCTTTTCTCTCACCTTCGTTGGAATCTTGACTTCGATCGGTTTCTCCGACGTTTCTAGAACATTGCGGGATGGTTTACTGAATCCTCCGGCGTTCCACGTCCTTTGACATTTCGTCATTACTATTTTTTCAGCATAGTAGTTGAATTCGCTGTAGAAGAATCCCTAGAGAGGCTCGGTAGTTTCGATGGACGTGTACGGCCGCAGCCAGGCGATGAGTGGAGCTCAATCTGGTCAAGCACCCGAATGGAGCTCCGAAGGTGCCGACACGGGCCTCGAAGGTCGGTTTTTTGTTCTCCTGTTTTGAGCTCGGCTTCTGATTCGCATGCGCGTCGTTTTTCAGCAACTGTTGGGTTATTCTCCCTTAGGGTTTCTGAAATGCGCTTGCGGAATTAGGGTTTTGTTTGTGATTCCTTTTCCCCCACCTGGGTTTGTGTTGTCTAAGTACAGAATCGATGTGGCGATTAGGGTTGAGCAGTAGCGAGACGTACCCGGAGCGACCTGGAGCGCCTGACTGTGCGTACTACATGCGAACCGGCATCTGTGGATATGGAAGTAGGTGTCGTTACAATCATCCTCGAGACCGTGCTGTGGTAACTTCACTTTATCGTCGGCTATTTGTTGCTTTATTTCACGATTTTGGGTTCTGTTCATGTCGGAAAGTATCCAAAGAAGCATTGTGATGCTTATTTTCCGTAATGCGGATGCGTACTGGGTTATAGAATCTTGGATGCTAGAGAAAATGATGAGCTTTGCATGATTTTTTAAGTTTCCCCGTTGCGGATGATGTCTTTTCTTCCTGTCTTGGATTGCTCATCCTAATGGCAATGACAACGGGACAAAATAACACAAGGAACTCCTCTGGTTTTCACATGTGCTACCATTCGATTTTTGGCTTGTAATGTAGCTGGAATAAGCTTCGCGGTAGACATTATTGTACGCTGTGATCGATATACCTAGTTTTCGTAAAATCTCTCGCTGTGTTTCGTTTATTTTGCTGTCTGGAAACTTTCAGCTATTATTTACGACCTTTGATTATGAGGTTGTTTTTTCTTACCTCCATGTAGGTTGAGGCAGCTGTTAGAGCTACAGGAGAGTATCCTGAACGAGTAGGTGAACCCCCATGTCAGGTAACACTTTGAAGAAAGTTTACTCGTATTGGTTGTGCAATGGTTGTTAAAGGATTAAGAGACTTGTGAGTGTTATTGATCGTTTACTGGATCATATTTGCAGTTCTATTTGAAAACTGGAACCTGTAAATTTGGGGCGTCATGCAAATTCCACCATCCAAAAAATGCAGGTGGATCCATGAGCCAAGTTCCACTAAATATACATGGATACCCATTAAGAGAGGTAAGGGGGATTTCCTTTTTTTCTTCCTTCGTGTTCATTTTCTGATGTCCCTTTCATATATCTGCAAGCTTACTACTTTGTATATGGCAACTTTTGTAGGCCGAGAAAGAATGCTCCCACTATTTGAAAACAGGACAGTGCAAATTTGGTGTAACCTGTAAATTCCATCATCCCCAACCTGCTGGTACGACAACTCCAGCATCTACACCGCGGTTTTATCCATCGGTGCAATCTCCTATACCTGACCAGTATTCAGGCCCGTCCTCTAGTCTGAGAGTAGCAAGACCTCCTCTTTTACCTGGTTCATATATGCAAGGGGCTTACGGTCCCATGCTCTTAACCCCAGGGGTCGTTCCAATACCTGGCTGGAATCCTTACTCGGTACGTTGTAATCTTATCTTGCATTAGCATATCTGTCTACGTCGTTTCTCTTACATTGCATCAGTCACTGACGATGCAGGGACCAGTGAGTCCTGTTCTCTCTCCTGGTGCACAACATGCTGTTGGAGCAACTTCTTTGTATGGAGTCACGCAACTCTCTTCTTCCACGCCTTCGCTTGCTGGGGCTTATCCATCTTTGTCCTCTTCAACTGCCCCTTCTGTCGGTAGTCAGAAAGAACAAATCTTTCCTGAAAGACCTGGTGAACCTGAATGTCAGTACTATTTGAGAACCGGAGATTGTAAGTTTGGATTATCTTGTAAGTTCCATCATCGTCGAGATAGGATTCCACAAAGAGCAAACTGCATTCTCAGCCCAATTGGCCTCCCCTTGCGCCCGGTATGCCATCCATTTACCCTCTGTAAATTATGTGCGGAGGAACCAACACTTTAGGTATTTAGATTTTATGCTTAGTGTGTTCCGCCTTAAAAAGCATGATCTGCTCTATTCTATGTTCGCTTTCCTGCAAAAGCATCCTCCAAACGGTATACTTGTTACCTTTGTTACTGAAATCCAGCATCTAGCGGAACATTGTAGGGAAACGCTTTACTGACTCTTTTATGTGGTTGGCCATTTGATATCAAACTGATCTGCTTGCAGTTGGGAAGCAATAGGCTTTTAGTTGTAGCTGGAATAGCATGCACTGGTGATACTGATGGCTTTTGTGCTAAGTTATAGCTAAAGTAACTTGATGGCTTCAACTCTGATTAAGATGCTTTCTTTTGACGACAAGCTTTAATTTTTTTTATTCTTTGACTATGTCAAAATTATAGGGAGTCCAGCCATGCACATTTTACCTGCAAAACGGCTTCTGTAGGTTTGGATCCACATGCAAGTTTGATCATCCAATGGGAACCCTCAGATACAATCCATCGGCATCCTCTCTGGTCGATGCGCCAGTGGCTCCCTACCCAATGGGCTCTCTCCTCCTGGGTGCACTCCCCCCTTCGTCCTCATCCTCCGAACTCACCATATCTACCTCCCAGAAGGATGCCTATCTGACTGGTCTATCCCCTTCATCCAGCATCTCAGCCGGTTTGATTTTCTCCCAAAGCGGCCCTCTTCCATTTCCTGATCTTCAACTCTCAAGCCACACTGTCACTCCTCCATTAAGCAGCAGCAGAATCACAAGGCAAGGCCGTGAGATTCGGCGCTCATTTTGACCCAAACAGGAACACCAGTAGTCTGTCAAGCGCCTTGGACCGCCTTTTCAATTGTTATCCTCAGTATTCAAGGTTTGGTAAAAGTTTTTTTCTAGGACCTGACGGAGCTCGACGAAATGGCAACATACGGATGCATATACATATATATATTTGTATGAATGTATGTATGTATGCGCATAGGGAGAAAAGCGAAGGCTGTGTAAATGTATAGAGACAAGCAAGCTCTTCCTTGGTCGTCTTGTCCCACAATTGGACCATCGCTGCTGAAGGAAGCGATTACGTTAGTCGCAGTCTCTCTTTTTGTTTTTAGATCATTATTCTCTGTTTTTTTTTTTTTGTTTATTTATCTCATTTGATTTAAGGACGTACGTGTATGTTGGGTCTTTTGTTTGATTCTATGTGGTGGAAGCCGTGTTATGTTCCAAATCATGTAACCGTCTACCTGTCGAGCATTATGCATAATGAAATCTCTCGGAATCATAAAGTTCGGGAGATGGCTTCATCTTATGGGTGTGTATGTAACATAAATACATGTGGAGGATGGGCTTCCAAATATAATGTTTTAAAGCTTTCTAAAACCTGGGCTAGAGATGGTGGACCCGGGGCTTACTCAACAGCCGGACAGAGCTGATGATTGCGAGTGGAAAAGCAGAACAAAAGGTGAAGGGATGGAATGATGCCGACGATCCCAAGGGTCTCTCCATTTAAGCCCGTGGAAAAAAAAGGGGGGGAGACATTCGTGGGGCTCCTCTCGACGAGGGTGGGAAAATGTTCTTGCAGCACCTCATGAGAGCAAATCGCCCATCATTACTTGTTCATACAGAAGCAATCATGTGCCATTATTACCAACACACTCGCCGAGTTATGCCATTTCCTCTCTAACTCCGTATCTTTGTAGAAATTAGAATATTAATATTTGAACTCGTCAAAGTTTCCAAAATAAAACCTCATCTTTAATTTTTGTCTTTTAAAACCCAAACTTTGAAATTCATGTCTAAATAAACCTCAATTTTATAAACCATGTCAAATTTAACCTTTAATGCTGACGTGGCAAATCGAACGATGACACCTCATCTGTCACGTCCAAAATTGTCATGTCAGCATCCAGCGTTAAATTTGATATGGCTTATAAAATTCAGGTTTATTTAAATACGAATTTTAAAAGGCAAAAATTAATTGATGTTTTATTTTGAAATTTTTGATAAGTTCAGGTATTAATATTCTAATTTATTTTTATAAAATAATTAGAATAAAGAAGATTGGCAAATTATCTTTTTTTTTTTTACGTCACTTTTTTACATTTTGGGAAATTTGGTTTTAATTGAACACGTATATATAATTGAGGAGGAAGCACCATGTGTACAATGAGTAGGTTAGGCCAACCTTATTTTGAGTGTTATTAATAAGACACTGATAGATTTCTTCCTTAAGCCTTTTTTTTCTCTCAATTGTGAAAGAAAATATATTTTCTTAGGCACAATGAATGATTACAAACCAAAAAAAAAGTCCCCCGTCTTTAAAAAAAAAAAGAAACAAACGAGCAATGAAGGAAGCTTTAAACTTTTCACCGAAAAGCATAAGCAAAAAACAGCACACTTGACGACTTTTTTTTTTACCCTAATGACATGATTATTACTTTCCAATTAAACAAAGTATATACAATTAAAGTACTTGTCATGTTGCCATTAGTTTGACGTTGATTATTGTTCACCATTTCACTCAAAAACCGAGTTTTAACCTCTCTAGATTCAAAGCATTCCGTTTTTAGTGGGTAAATTATTTTTTGTAATATTTATATAGCTACATTTAGTTATCAATTTAACTTTGGATTAAAAAAAGGAATAAAAAAATTGGTTCTCAAAGCTTTTGGTAATTGAAATCCAAAGTCCCACCCCTCATATCTCTACTAAAAAAGACGTTAAATTCAAATTGGATTTGGTAATAGGAGGAGTACCACCACCTACCTTTACGAAGATTAGTGTCTTAAATCCTGGAGGAAAAGGCAAAAAGTTTGCTGATTTCAAATATAAAAACAACCCATCATTCCCCGCACTAATCCTGCATGAATTCATGTTTCCTTTCTCCTCACTCCATCGACTCATCCTTTCACATTTTGAAACAGAGAAAGAGAGATTTTGCAGCAGCTGACAAATTGGGAGATCTTTTTTTTGGCAAAGAAAGTGGTTTAAAGGCTTCTTCTTGCAGAACTTCTGAGTTACCCATTTTGCAGAAACCCCCTTTTTTTCGGTGGAAGAGATGGGTGTGGTTACTGTTCCTGAGTCTAAGCAAAGTGCTTCTGGGAAAAGAGCATTTCGTCCCAGTTCCGGTATCAGACACAGTCCTCAATGGTAAATGTCTTGTCTTTTCGTTTCCCTGTCCTGTCTCTTGTTCTCCTTCTCGGACATTTTGCTCTCCCTTCAGAACTCGAACCCAGAAAAAAAAAAAAGCTAATAAATTTCGGATTTTACCTGAAAAGGGTTCTCAAAAGATCACAACTTTCAAGTCTCTGGAGAAGATTTTCCTGGGAAATCTGGTGCTGAATTTTCCCGCTAATTTGCGTTTTTTTCCCAGGCCGGTGTCGGATGTTATCAGCGACTTAATCATCGAAGTCGGGTCTTCCAGCTTTTCCCTCCACAAGGTAACTCAAAAGCGAAGCCACCACAAAATTCCACTTGAACACGTGACTCAAAGTCTCATATATACAGTCTCTGTTTCAGTTTCCTCTGGTTTCGCGGAGCGGAAGAATCAGGAAACTTCTTCTGGAAACAAAAGACAGCAAGAACGCTCAGCGGCTGAGCCTGCCGTCTCTCCCCGGTGGCTCGGAGGCGTTCGAGCTCGCCGCCAAGTTCTGCTATGGCGTCACCGTAGATTTCACCTCCTCCAATATCGCAGCGGTCCGATGCGCGGCTCATTACTTGGACATGACGGAAGAGGTTTCGGAGAAGAACCTGGAAGCCAGAGCGGAGGCCTTCCTGAGAGATTCGATTTTCACAGATATCTCCAAATCGATCACTGTTCTTCACTCATGCGAGAGGCTTTTTCCCGTCGCCGAGGATATCACCCTTGTCGGCCGTCTCATAAACGCGATCGCCGTCAACGCTTGCAAAGAGCAGCTCGCGTCTGGCCTGCTGAAGCTCGACCAGAAGTTCGCGAGTGTCGGGAGATTAGCAGAGGCCGAGAGATCCTCTGATTGGTGGGGAAGGTCTCTCCCCATTCTCAAGCTCGATTTCTTCCAGCGAGTTCTCTCCGCCATGAAATCGAAAGGTCTGAATCAGGACATAATCAGCGAAATCCTCATGAGTTACGCCCGAAACTCCCTGCAGATCATCAGAGACCCGAATCTCGTGAAGGTGGGAAGCGCGATTATAGATTCAGATCAGCAGAAGAAACAACGAACCGTCCTCGAATCGATCGTGGGTCTGCTACCGACGCAGGCGAACAAGAGCTCGATCCCGATCTCGTTCCTCTCGAGCCTCTTGAAGACAGCGATCGGATCGAGCGCGTCGGTCTCCTGCAGATCGGATCTGGAGAGACGAATCAGCCACCAGCTCGACCAGGCGATTCTCGAGGACATCCTGATTCCGGCGAGCGGGTCACACGGGCACGGAGCCATGTACGACACGGACTCGGTGCAGAGGATCTTCTCCATGTTCCTGAACCTGGACGAGTGCGACTACGGTGACGACGACGGGGATTTGGTGGACGAGAGCGAGTTGGGTCTGTACGATTTCGAAGGAGCAGAGTCGCCGAAACAGAGCTCGATCCTGAAGGTGTCGAAGCTGATGGACAGTTTCTTGGCGGAGGTTGCTTTGGATTCGAACCTTCCGCCGGCGAAGTTCATAGCTCTCGCCGAGCTTCTCCCCGACCATGCCCGCCTCGTCTGCGACGCCCTCTACCGGGCCGTCGACATTTTCCTCAAGGTACACCCTTTTTTCCCCAGAGGTGAATTCGTCTAATCGGAACAGTTTTCCCAAAATTTTATTAAAAAATCCATTAAAATATTATAGAAATTATCAAAAAAACCCGGATTTCGAAATGGATTCCAATCAAATTAAAAGATGGATTTTTTAATTTTTTTGTCAGTTTATTGATTTAGAAGTCAAAGATCCGAAATTTATTTTGGTTTGTTGAAAATTTTGGATTTTTAGTTTAAAGCCCAAAACTTTATATGTGTTCTCATTCTGGAAAGTTAGACTCCTTGTCATTTTTCTAGGAAAACATGTAGCATACAGAGAAAGTAGCGAGAGCCTCTTTTAACTTTTGTCGGAAGAAAACATTTAACAAGTAGAAACGTTGATCATGAACACTGTCTGTTCGCTGTTATTCAGATCTAATATCTTAACATTCACTATATATATATATATATATATATATATGCATGGAATAGGTTCATCCTAATATGAAAGACTCGGAGCGTTACCGTCTCTGCAAGACGATAAACTGTCAGAAACTATCGCAAGACGCGAGCAGCCACGCCGCTCAGAACGAGAGGCTTCCCGTCCAGATCGCAGTCCAAGTACTCTTCTACGAGCAAACTCGGCTCAAGAACGCCATGAGCAGTAGCGGCAGGGGGAGCATCGCTGGTCAAAGCCAGTTCTTCTTCTTCCAGGGCCAGTTCCCCCACCGCTCGGCCAGCGGAGCCGCCAGCGGTGCCATCTCTCCTCGGGATAACTACGCATCGGTGAGGAGAGAGAACAGGGACCTGAGGCTGGAGGTGGCGAGGATGAGGATGAGACTGACCGAGCTCGAGAAGGATCACGTTTCCATGAAGAGAGAGTTTGTGAAGCCGAGCGGCGGCGGCCGTGGGAGGAACAGGCTGTTCAGGACGCTGACGAGAGGACTGAGCAAGTTGAACGCCATCGTTTTCAGGTTGAGAAGCAGCGAAAGCGTCGCCAATGGGAAGCACCATACGGAGGAGAAGACTAATTCAGAGAGAAGGTTCATGTTTCAGAAGAAGAGATGTCATTCCGTTTCTTGAGTTTGACACACAAAATGCTTCTTTCTGTGTAATTCTTGCCTCTTGCGTGTGAATAAATTGTAATATTTGAGTGTGCGTTTTGTACAACCTTGGTTAGTTTTTGGCCCACCACAGTCTTGTAAATAGTTTCCACTCCATTCTACATGTACTCTTTCGTGGTCTAAGTTCAAACCTGTTAATTCTCTCCCGTTTCTGTCTCTGCCGAGACCCGAACATCAAGTGTCAGCCTTTTCAGTTCCTGTTCCTCCACTGCAGGA